TAGGACCTTCATTTACCCTGATGTGTCAAGGTTTACGATTGTGCTACACTGTCGCCGCAGGGTTGCCGATCCTCTTATCGAGTTTTACCCTAAAGCGACTTCCAGCCAACCCCTGACCCCCCCCCAGCCTTTCCCTAAACCCCCTACCCAGTAACCTGGGAATCCCCTGTGCCAACTGTCGTAACTGTAAATTTCGGCACGACATTACGTGTGCTGGTACGAAGTGGGCCACCATTGGCCTTGAAAAATTGTTACACTGATGACCCAGGGTAGAATTTTCTGGATCTGCAAAATCCTTGACAGGTCAGGATTTTCACTGAGGGATAGTCTGATAATCAGGATTTTGATGATGTGCAACACTGATCGTAAGGGTTGGCTAAAACCAAAAATTAGCCCTGGTGCACGCCATGTGAGGAGCTAGAAACGGGGGGGGGGGGTGTGCTGGCGGTTGTTAAAAACTAAGGACGGAGTCTATGAAGATTAGGTGCCCAAATTTTTTAAAATCGTTGGTCTCAATTTCTGGGCAGAAACGTCGACTTCACAAGAAATGTTGTCGACGAAAGGTGCACAATTAGAATCCCACGAAATTCGAATATGTTGTAGCCCTAGACCGTGGCTACATTTCCCAATTTGAATTGTATCAACTTATGAAGCATATCTCGAGTTTTACTTTTCGGCGCACTAGGGGGTATGCTGCCACAGAAATTTAACTCGATCACAATTAACTCACAAGTCCCACGAAAGAACATTCGAGTAGCACTAAACCTGGTAGGAGGGGAAGAGGAGGACGAGAGGGAAGGTCCCAAGAGAGAGTCCTCAACCAAGGAAGCCCCATGCCACACAATTCCCTTCCCCATAGGCAACAAACTTTGACCTTTGTCACTTTCCAACCCATGCCATCCACCTCACCACAACTTGGCCACACTTACCAACCTGGTTTGGCTTCACCCAACCTCTTGGCAGCATCTACAGTGATGTGTTCGAATTTCCCAACCCCCACAAGTCTGTACCCCATATTGAGTCAATGCCGCAACTTCCCAAAGTAGCTGCAACCAAAATATATAAGCATACGAACTCCAATGTTCGTAACTTTCTTGGTTGTGCTCCGATCGCGACGATTCTTGGTTCGTCGGAAAGCTCTTGAGTAGAGGAATCACTTCAGATATCTGCTCAAGCCAAATAACATACACTCACTCTGAAAAACCAAACCACATCAAACACAAATTCTTGCACATGCTCACACCAGGCATGCAACGCACAAACACATGATGGGAGGCAGACAGATGTGAATGCATATGGTTGCATCACACAACAAACTCCCCCTCTGGCTGCCAGCCATCATCCCACATGCCATAACTCAAGCATGCACCCTCAATGCACACTCATTCCCGCAAGCTTCATTCACTTCCAACACTGATCCCAATGGACAATCATCTCCTTCCAACATCCCACTTCCAACATCTCCTCTTTGCTCAAATCTCCTCCCAATGTTCAGTGATTCTAACATGTAGCACCCTCTGCAGCGTCTGTTTCAAAACACTATCCACCAAACCATCTCATTGCAGCTCCATAGCAATACGCTATCTCATCCTCATCCATCTGTTCAGCCACACTCCCAGCCCTTACCACACTTGGCTTCCCAAAGCTCGGATAGGTCAGCCGGTTAGGAGGGCGCACATCCCTCCTTGGACAGTCAGCCGGACGTACGGCACCTTGTGGAGCATCTTGCTGCTGCTGCGGCTGCTGCTGCTGCTCCTGCTCCTCCACCTCAGGTTCTCCCCCATCCTCAGTCACCCCAGAAATCTCCTCCTCTGAGACAGTGACCTGCACTTGCCTCGAAGGCCGCTGCACCTCATCAGCCTCAATGATCAGCGGTCTAGTGGGAAGCTTCTGCTGCTGCTGCTTCCACTCCTTGTAGTACAAGGACTGAAGGAACTTCACATCCCTCGACACGGTCAGCTGCTGGCTGGTCAAGTCCCAAATCAGCCAGCCCTTGTGATCCTTAGCAAGCCCCAAGTGCACACCCCATCTCCCAGAAGCTTCCAGTTTTCCTCTCTTCTCTTTAGGCACATGAAAAACCACCATGCACCCGTAGGCTCTCAGCATGTTCACCGTTGGTGCACTCCCATACCACTTGGTGTAGGGGACCCACTGCTTGTCCCCCACAGTTGCCAGCACCCTGTTCTTCACAAGGGCGACCTGCCGCAGTGCAGTCACCCAAAACGGATCCGGCAGCCCTGCACGCCCAAGGAGAGTGCGAGCACCGGTTGAACCGCTCAGCCACGCCGTTCTGCTGAGGGTTGTAGGGCACCGTGAGCTGATGCTGGATCCCCTTCTTCTTCAGCACCACCTCAAAATCAGCGCCAATGAATTCTCCCCCGTTGTCAGTGCGGATCACCTTCACCTTATGTCCGCTCTCCCTTAGAGCCCTCGGCATCCACTCCTTAAGAACAGCCGCTGCCACCTCCCCCTTAGTCTTGAGAGGGTACACCCACACCACACGCGTGTGGTCGTCCACAATCGTCAAGAAGTAGCGGCTGCCCGAGAGAGAAGGGGCCCTTGTGGGGCCCACCACATCCATGTGCACAAGCGCGAGTGGAACCTTAGCTGGTCCCGTGCTGCTGCTGAAAGGGAACTTGGTGAACTTTGTCTCAAGGCATGTAGGGCAGCTCCCAATCTCCTTCGCTGCCCCCTTCACCTCCAATCCCTTCAAGCTCCCATCCTTCACCAACTTCTGCAGCATAGGAATGTTGATGTGGCACAGCCTCTCATGCCACGTCTCCCAATCGGCCTCACCACTCCCAAACGAAGCCTTTGCCCATGCAGCCGTTGCATCCACACCAGCAAGCACCTCACCATGTGATTGCTGTGGCTGCTGCACCTTCTTGACTGTATCCAGGGCCCCAGCAGTTGGTGCAATCTCCTCTCCTCCCGCAGTTGCCTTAGCCGCTGCCGCTGCCTTTGCCGTTGCTGGAGGTTTCCCATTCCAAGGGATGATGGGCAGCTGCCACAGGTCCTTGATGCAGCTGCTCTTCTCCTCCAAATCCCACAGCAGCAACTTCCCAAGCTTTGCACGGCACCTGGTTGGGCCGAACGTAACTTTGGCCTTGCTTTTCTGCAGCCGGCGCACAGAGAGGAGGTTAGCGGATAAACCTTCAACCAACTGCACATTTCCCAGCCCCACAAGCCCCCCATTAGCTTCCATAACCTTGGCATTCCCAACACCAATCACAGGGAGCAAGGCACCTGAAGCGGCAGCCACAAATTTTATCTTCCCAGGGGGCTTCACCTTATCGATCACAATTAACTCACAAGTCCCACAAAAGAACATTCGAGTAGCACTAAACCTAGTAGCACAAAAGAACCTCGTCCCTAAAGGCCCCGATCGGCCCCGCGCTCGCTCTTAGCGGGCCCTTACGGCCCCGCGCTCGCCCCTAAAGGCCCCGATCGGCCCCGCGCTCGCCCCTAGAGGCCCCGAACGGCCCCGCCCAGAACGAGCCGCCCGACCCGAGCAGCCCGAACCGAGCCGCCCAGCCTGAACCGAGCCGCCCGAACCGAGCCGCCCGACCCAAACCGAGCCGCGCCGCCCGATCTTAGCCGCGCCGCCCTACCTGAACCGAGCCGCGCCGCCCGTACAGGACCGAGCCGCCCTACCTGAGTCCCTACTACTGCTATTATTGCTACTACTACTTTTCCTCCTACTATTGCTATGGCTAGCCCTCTTGTGCTAGCTTTTGATGCTGAGGGCTGCCCAGTGAAGTTCGAAACCTGGCTAGATGACCTACACCTCTTCCTACAGCTCACTGCCAAGGAAGACATCTCACTGTACGATCACGCCCTAGGCCATGCTACTGCTACTGCTGACAGCGCTGCCCATTCACAGTGACAGACTCGTGACGCCCACGCTCGCTTCGCTATTCGCAACTCCCTGCCGATAGATGAGCGCGAGCACTTTGGGCAGCACAAGACTGCACAGGCACTGTACACTGCTGTTGTTGCCCGCTACTCCTCACCGGCCTCTGCCGCACTAGGCTGTCTCTCTCTTCCCTACCTGTTCCCCAACTTAGCCTCGTTCCACACAGTCGCTGACCTCATTACGCACCTCCGTACTAGTGAGGCTCACTTCCGCGCCGCCATGCGTGATGAGTTCCTTGCCAAGAACCCACCCCCGCTCTCGCTCACTCTTTACCACCTAGTCACCCGCCTCCCTGACACTCTGCGCTCCGTCAGGGACCACTTCCTAGCTCGCTGCCCCACTGAGCTCACAATTGCCCTCCTCGAGAAGGAACTCCTTGCAGCTGAGGCTAGCATAGTCGCTGTAGGTGCCTCTCGTGGCGAACCCCGTACCCCGTTCTTTGAGGGGTGTTCTCCTTCCCCCCTTCTTCCCTCTGTCGCCTCTGCTGCTGCTTTCGACCTTCTTGGTGCTGAGAAGGTCGGGACTGTGTCTGCTTCGAGCGGGCGCCGCGGCGGCAAGGGCAAAGGGGGCAAGGGCGGTGGCGATGACGGCGGGGGAGGCGGTGGTAGGGGAGGTGGTGGCGGTGGGGGTGGTGGCACGACTGGAGGGGCAGGTGGCAGCGGTGGGGGTGGTGGCGGCAGCGGCGGGGGAGGTGGCCGGGGCGGAGGTGATGGTGGGGGTGGCGGCGGCAGGGGTTGGGGTGGTCGAGGAGGTGGCGGCGGAGGTGGTGGTCGTGGAGGCGCTGGCGGTGGCCAGGGCCAGCAGCACACTCCGTCGCCCCAGGAGGTCCGTGAGTGGTACTCTCAGCACGGGGGGGGGGGGGGGGGGGGGGGGGGGTGGCTTTAGCTGCACGTACGTCATTCGCACTGGTGACCGCACTGGCCAGCCGTGTGAGGGACCGCACGCCACACAGCGCTGCTTCGCTCGTCTCAACGACGCTTGGCGTGTTCAGTTCCCTCAGGCCACTGAGCTGCCCCGCTGGCTTGATCTCCTGAAGAAGGGGATTGATATCTATGCTCTAGACTTTGATGCTATTCTCACTGCTATGTATGTGATGTCTACTAGTGGAGAGGGTGCTGAGTACCTGTGTGTCCCGCCTGACCCGGGCATTAGGACTAGTGCGTCTGCCGCTCCAGGTACTCGCGTGTCTGCTACCCCAGGTGCTGGTGAGGCAGCTGCTCTAGGTGCTTCTGCGTCTGCCCCCCCTGGTACTGAGTCGACTGCAGCACTGCACACCTTCACACTGGACTCAGGTGTTTCTCGCTGCTTCTTTCGTGACCGCACTGCCCTTGAGCCACTTGCTCGGCCAGTTGCTGTCTCCCTCGCTGACCCCTCTTGGGGTCCGGTCATTGCGACCTCCTCCACTGTCCTTCCCTGTCCTACGGTCCCGTCGGGCACACTGTCAGGTCTCCACCTCCCCTTGTTCTCTACGAACTTGGTGGCAGGTTGTGCACTCCAGGACGGGGGTGTTCAGCAGTTCACCCCTGCCTACGAGCGTGTGACACACTGCACGTGTGCTCGTACGGGCCGCCACTTGGCTACCTTCACTCGGTAGCCGGGGTCGGACCTGTACACACTTACCACTGGGTCTCCTCAGGTCGCTGCGTCTGCATCTGCGTCCGCGTCAGGTCAGCTGTCTGCCCCCTGCTCGTGTCGCTCTCTGGCACACGAGACTGTCCTTTGGCACCACCGACTTGGCCACCCGTCTGTGCAGCGCCTTCGTGCCATGCACTCCCGGTACCTTGTCTCTGGTCTTCCCAGGGTCGTCCCTCCCCTCCCACCCTCGCCTGCTCCTCCCTGTCTTCCATGTGTCGAGGGGCAGCAGCGCGCCGCTCCTCACTCCTCCTCGTTTCCCCCGACGACTGCTCCCTTGCAGACGCTCCACATGGACGTGTGGGGCCCAGCCCGCGTCCGTGGTCAGGGTCAGGAGAGGTACTTCCTGATAGTTGTTGACGACTACTCGCGCTACACCACGGTCTTCCCCTTGCGCACCAAGGGTGAGGTCCCTGATGTCTTGATCCCTTGGATCCACAGAGCCCGTCTCCAGCTCAGCGAAAGTTTTCACTCGGACTTTCCTGTCCTGCGCTTGCACTCTGACAGAGGTGGTGAGTTCTCCTCCGACCTCTTGGCAGCCTTCTGTGTTGAGCATGGCATTGAGCAGTCGTTCACGCTTCCGGCCTCTCCACAGCAGAATGGGGTTGCGGAGCTCCGCATTGGCCTGGTCATGGAGGTCGCCCATGCCTCCTTGATCCATGCGGCTGCCCCCCACTTTCTGTGGCCGTTTGCGGTCCGGTACGCTGCGCATCAACTCAACCTCTGGCCCCGTGTCTCCTTGCCGGAGACCTCGCCCACAGTGCTGTGGACGGGGGAGGTTGGCGATGCGTCGCGTTTCCGGGTCTGGGGATCTCGAGCTTTTGTCCGCGATACGTCTGTGGACAAGCTCTCCTCCCGTGCTGTTCCCTGCATCTTCCTCGGCTTTGTCCCGGACGGGCCTGGTTGGCAGTTTTACCACGCCACCTCGCGCCGAGTCTTGCCCTCTGAGGACGTCACGTTTGACGAGTCCGTCCCCTACTACCGCCTCTTTCCCTACCGCACTGCCCCGCTCCCCCCCCCCGCCGCTCTTCCTCGCGCCAGGTGCTCCTGTCGTAGACCCCCTCCCCCCTCAGGGTGCCGCTCCCTCAGGTGTGTCTCAGGTAGACCCGGTTGAGCCTGTTGAGGTAGCTGTCGACTCTCGTCCTGCTGCGGGTGCGGAGTCTAGGGGTGCATAGCTTGGGGGTGCAAAGCCTAGGGGTGCGGAGCCCTAGGGTGCTGAGCCTGGGAGTGGTGAGCCTGGGGGTGCTGAGCCTGGGGGTGCGGAGCCTGTGGGTGCTGAGCCTGTGGGTGCTGAGCCTGGGGGTGTTGAGCGGCGGAGTCCGGAGTTTGGGGGTTCTGGGTCTGGAGGCCCTGAGCCTGAGAGTCCTACACCTGGAGGAGCCCTCTCCTCGGAGCAGCTGCGTGAGTGGTACTTGCAGTACTGCAGCCTCAGGAGAGGTACCTGTGGAGCCAGGCGCACTACTGGGGCTAGTGCTAGTGCTTCTCCTCCTAGCCGAGAGCTCCCCTCCCGTGAGCGGATCCGTGAGTGGTACGAGCGGCGCTGCACTCTTCGGAGTGGCGCGCCTTGTGTCGGTGACCCCGCTGTTGCTGGTGGTGCTGCTTGTACTGCGGACCCGGGCGTTGGGGCTGCTGCTGGTGATGTGGACCCGGGCGCTAGTGCTGCTGCTGGTGCTGTGGAGTCGGGCGTTGGAGCTGCTGCTGGTGCTGAGGACCCGGGCGTTGGCGCTACTACTGGTGCTGAGGACCCTGGCGTTGGAGCTGCTGCTGGTGCTGAGGACCCGAGCGTTGGCGCTACTTCTAGTGCTGAGGACCCTGGAGCTGGTGCTGCTGGTGGTGCTGACGACCCGGGCGTTGGAGCTGCTGCTGGAGCTGAGGACCCGGGAGTTGGAGCTGCTGCTAGTGCTGAGGACCCTGGCACTAGTGTCTCTGCTGGTTCTGGAGTCGCTGCACGGCGGCAGCCGTACTTCGTTGCGCTCCTTCAGCAGGTTCTTGGTCTACCGCCTTCTCCCGGTCCTCCTCCTCCCTTAGAGTGTCCACAGCCTGTCCAGTCACTGTTAGAGCTACGGCCCGCCTCCCCACTGCCTGCTCCTTCTCCCACACTGAGCCTACTGGAGGTCTTATTGAGCGTCGTGAGCCTGCGTCTCCCCCTGCGTCGCCTGCCCGTACTGCTCGTACTAGTGGTCGCGGTTCGCGTCAGCGTCCTCCTCCTGTCCCCGGCACGCACCGGATGCCTCTGCGTCCATCCAATGCTCCACTTCGTGCCCCTTTGCCTTCTCCTCCTGAGTCCTCTCTTCCTGCTCTTGCCGACCCGGAGTCGGACTCTCTTTATGCTGCCAGTCCTACTGTCACGCGTCTCCTTGCTACTGTCGTCACTGACCCTTCTTTCGAGTCCTGTGCTGCGTCTGCCCTAGAAGCTGAGCTCGTCGACTTTGCTGCTCGCTGTCGCCTAGACTACGCTGCTAGTCTTGTCGCTGAGTCTGAATCTGTCTGTCCTCCGTCCGTCGGGGCTGAGTGTGCCCTTGGCACGGACGTCCTTGAGGACAGGCAGGAGGAGTTCCAGTGCTTGGCCGCTGCTTCACCTCATCTCGTGTCCGTACTGCTTACCCCTGAGGGAGACCCGGATGCACTTGACATCCCGACTCCGCGCTCTAACGCAGAGGCGATAGAGGGTCCCTACTCTTCTCAGTGGCAGGCAGCTATGGATGCAGAGATGGCTTCCTGGAAGTCCACAGGCACCTACGTTGACGCTGACCCCCCTCCTGGGGCGAACATCGTCAGTGGCATGTGGATTTTCAGGGTGAAGCGGCCGCCAGGTTCTCCGCCTGTCTTCAAGGCGCGTTACGTTGCTCGTGGCTTCAGTCAGCGGCAGGGAGTTGACTACTTTCAGACCTTCTCTTCCACCCCGAAGATGACCACTCTTCGGGTACTGCTGCACGTAGCTGCTCACCGTGACTACGAGCTACACTCTCTTGACTTCAGCACAGCTTTCCTGCAGGGCAGCCTGCACGAGGAGATCTGGCTGCGCCGCCCACTTGGCTTCACTGGAACTTTTCCTCCTGGCACCCAGTGGAGCCTCCGGCGGCCAGTCTACGGTCTCCGCCAGGCACCGCGTGAGTGGCACGACACACTGAGGACTACGCTTGCGGCTCTTGGGTTTGCTCCCTCTACTGCTGACCCGTCGCTGTTTCTACGCACCGACACTTCTTTGCCGCCGTTCTACATCCTCGTGTACGTCGACGACTTGGTGTTTGCCATAGCTGGCACTGCTGGACTCGCCCACGTGAAGTCCGAGCTGCAGAAGAGACACACGTGCACAGACCTGGGTGAACTGCACAGCTGCCTTGGCTTGCAGATCACTCGGGACAGAGCACGCCGCACCATCACCCTGACTCAGTCACACATGGTGCAGAAGGTCCTACAGCGCTTCGGCTTCACGTACTCCTTGCCTCAGGCCACTCCTCTGCCTACTCGCCACTCGCTCTCACCTTTGCCTTCGGATGAGTATGTAGAGTCGAGTGGCCCGTACCCAGAGCTTGTTGGCTGCCTCATGTACCTGATGACCTGCACACGACCTGACCTTGCATACCCTCTTAGCATTCTCGCACGCTATGTTGCTCCTGGGAGACACCGACCAGAGCACATGGCTGCAGCGAAGAGGGTGTTGCGCTACCTGTGCAATACGTTGGGCATGGGGCTAGTGCTTGGAGGGCGAAGTCCAGTGGTCCTTACTGATCACGGAGACGCTTCTTGGGCTGACGACCAGGCTACTCAGTGGTCGTCACAGGGTTACACCTTCAGCCTTGGTTCCGGCTCTGTTTCGTGGCAGGCTACTCGCTCGTCTTCTGTTCTCGGCTCCAGCTGTGAGGCTGAGATCTACGCAGGAGCCATGGCTGCACAGGAGCTTTGCTGGCTCACCTACTTGCTGACCGACCTTGGAGTGCCGCCTCGTTCTCCTCCAGTCCTGTACGTAGACAACAAGGCCATGCTGGCCTTGTGTCGAGAGCAGAGACTGGAGCACAGAACAAAGCACATTGCTCTTCGCTACTTCCTTGCTCGTGAGCTACAGCAGCGTGGTCAGTTGCGGCTTGCGTACGTGGCCTCCGAGGCCAACATCGCTGATGTCTTCACCAAGGCACTTGCGCCTTGTGATCATCAGCGCTTCGGCACCCAGCTGGGTCTTGTCTTGCCTCACTTGCTCACCTCTTGACCTTGCTTGTACTGTTACATATATATATACCTGCTCTTGCTTGTCTAGCCTTATATATATGTGTACTCTTGCATGTGAACTGGCCTTGTGGCCTTGAACTTGTGCTCGGAATGTGTGGTGACTTTGTGATCCACCCTGAGCCTGCTTTACTTTGCTTTACTTGACTGGTCTTGTGACCCCTAGTTCTCCCCCACTTTGCCTATGGGGGTGTGTCAAACATTATATATGTTGTGGTTGTTTAGGCTACACTGGGTTAGCCTATAGAGGGTATACAATTCTAGGGTTTGGTAGTTGTACTCATTTCACTGTTAGTTCATTCATTCCTGTTCATTGATTTCAACACTAACCATGCAAGGAAATAGAAATGTAACACCGAGACTAACCTAATCCACACATATAAAATATATGTTGACCCCGACCACCTCTCCTTCGACTGCCCTACGGCGACGACAGCGACAAGGACAACAACAAGGGAGGTCGTTGATAGTCGGCCAATCTTTGTCCAAGTCGTGCTGAGGAGCCGCGCAAGGAGAAGTAGACGTGAAAAAGACGTCGTCGGCGAGGGACGTCGACACCTCCAACAGCAAGAACCGAGGCGACGAGGAAGCGTCGTGCTCGATGGTCGGCGTGGTGGAGCCAACAGTCTTGCTGGCGCCGGAGCCGGTGAGGACTTGAAGGCGTTCGCGGCCACCGTGCAGGCAAATCCGCTGGTGGTGTTGCTCGACAGTGGTTGCTCATACCACCTGATGGGGACAAAGGAGGTCTTCGTTGACATGGGGCTGAGTGGCGACCTGAAGCATGTGAGTAGCTTCAATGGGGCTCTGCAGACCGTCGAGGGCTCTGGAAGGGGAGGCCGGGAAGCAGGTTGTGAGAGTACGACGGTTTTCCTGGACATTACGTGCTTGATTATGCTTTATTATGCATTATCTACCTTAGCTTTAGATTATCTTGCATGCATTTGCTTGATTTCCTATGTTCGTTGCTTTACTATGATTATTATAGTTATATGCACTGAACTAGGTTGAGTGCACCGAATTCTAGGCTTTTTGGTTGCCACTGAATTTACTTCTACCGAATTCGCGAAGGACCCGTTTGGGACGCTTCGCGACCCGCGGAACCTTCTAGTAACACCCGGGTTACTACCTTTGTGTCGAGCCTTTATAGAGCCTCCCCTTGTATCCAGGTGATCAAATTATAATTTATGGACCAGTTCCTTTGATCTTCACCCGGTCCTCATCCCCGACGTGCTCTTGGTTCTGGGCGTGCAAGCAAACCTGTTGTTAGCCGGTCAGCTGCAAGAGAGTGGTGTGAAGCTGCAGACGACGGCAACGAGATGCAGCTCATGTCGAGTGTAGGGGAGATTCTCGGTCGAGCACACTACACCGACCGCGTCCTTTGCACCGACCTTCGCCCCTGTTTGGCACGGTCGCCGTCGACCGATGTGGTGGCTCTGTAGACGATCGCATCGGCGACGAAGTCGACGCCGGACAGGTGGCACGCGAGGCTCTTGCACGTCGGCGTCAACACAATTAAGAACTTAACGAAGCATGAAGTTGCCACCGGCTTCGACATCCAGCCGTCGACCGGAGCTGACTTGCCATGTGTCTCGTGCATCGGCGGGAAGCTGGCGCGGCATACCTTTCCCGACAAGGGCTTTGACACAGAGGAAACTCTAGCTGTCGTGCACATTGACTTGTGTGGGCCATTCCGGGTTGCTGCTAAGGATGGCAGCTTGTACTTCCTCCTACTGAAGGACCGCCACACTCAATTCATGTGGGTGACGCTGGTCGCTAAGAAGAGTGACATTCGGCGAGTGTTCTAGAAGTGGCTGCAGCTGGTGAACCGACAAACGAAAAAGTCGGTGCTAATGCTCTGCTCCGACCGCGGCGGCGAGTTCCTGGAGAAGGAATTCACCAACTTCGTCGACTGGAAGGGCATTGTCCAGGACTTGACATGCACGTACACTCCGCAGCAAAACAACTTGGCTGAGCGAGAGATGCATACGGTCGTCGAGTCCGTGCGGCCGATGCTGATGCACATGGGCGTGTAGCACCACTAGTGGCACCTCGCCCTGCGACAGGCTGTCTGGGTGCGCAATTGCTTGGAGTGGTCGACGACGCCGCTGGGCACGACGCCATACCATTTGCTGACCGGCAAGAAGCTTGATCTCACGCTGGCGCGGATGTGGGGTTGCATGGTGCAGTTCATGGTCCCTGAGCAGCAGCGCGGTGGGAAACAGGCACCGAAGGTTCACTAGGACTTCACATGGGGGTGTCGTCAATGAGCAAGGGCTGGGAGGTGCTCGACTTGACCGACAACAAAGTGGTCACGTCGGTCGAGGTCATCTTCTACGAGACCATGTCGCGGGAGGTGTGCAAGGTGAAGTACATGCATGCGTCGGGGCGGACGGAGGTACACCCGCCGACGGACACCTCGATGGCAACATTCCCGCTGCCTGTTGAGGTTGACGAGCCTGCTGATGAGGACGTCGAGGAATTTCTGCCCTCTCCTCCTCCTCCTGTTCCTATTACTTCACCCCTTGTCATCGATTTGCTGGTGTTGACCACCGGCGATGAGGGGAGCCCTGAGTTGTCGTCTGTGACGCTGGCCAGTGGCATCAATGGCGGTCGACATGCGCCTGAGCTTGTCGATGTGAATGTGCAGCCGTCGATGACACAAGAGCAGCAGACAGGGGAGCAAGTGCAGAAGGAGGTAGCAGAATTGCCGCCAACAGGGGAGCACCAGAAGGGGAAGTCGACGGGGAAGTTGTCGACCAAAGAGAAGTCGGCAAGTGGGCCGACGACAGGGGAGCATCCGGTCGAAGGGCCACCATTGGTGAAGCGGCTTGTCGATGATGATGCAGTCGATAATGAAGGGGAGCTGTCGGGAGGGGAGGAGTCCGCCGACAGTGATTTGAGAAGCCCGATTTGCGATGCTCAGGATGAAGTCAAAAGCCGCCGGGGCGGTTGATCTTTTACGCCTGTCTACCACCAGCCGCCTTTACCACGTTGCTCGACGACGCTGAGGCTGATGTCGACTTGCCTGAGCTCGACCTTAATGTGCACGCCAACCCCGATCACCGCTGAGACATCGCGACGATGACGGTGAAGGAGGCGTTGGCGAGTTGGCAGGGCAAGGGGTGAAGGCCGCCATGGACAAGGAGATCCGCAACCTCATTGGCATGGACACCTGAGAGCTGGTTGAACGCCCACACGGGATGAACATCATGAAGAACCGGTGGTTCTTGATGAGCAAGTACTAGGTCGACGACACTGTCGCCCAGGAGAAGGCGAGGTTGGTCACGAAGGGCTTCACGCGGGTGTACGACGCCGGCTACAATGAGACGTACGTGCTGGTCAGCGGCTACATCACCCTTAGGATCTTCCTCAGAATTGCCGCTATTCTGGACGTGAACCTGATGCAGCTTGACATGAAGAACGCCTTCTTGCGGAGCAAGCTCGACAGGGTGCTATACCAGCCGGACTAGTACGACGATGAGACCGGCCCAAAGTGCAAGCTTTTGAAGAGTTGGTATGGCCTGAAGCAGTTACTGCTGTTGTGGTAAAAGGCGCTTGACGGCGTGCTGACTGGAGCTAACTGGAAGAAGAGCCAGGTTGATGACGTGCTGTACTTCAAGGTCGGCAATGATGGAGAGTCCTGCTGGGTGCTTGTCTACGTCGATGATTTGCCCGCAGCCAGCAGCAACACCGCGATGCCGAAGGAGCTGAAAGGAGCTGCTGGGGGGCGCTTTTGAGCTGTGTGAGATCAGCCCCGTTGAGAGGTAACTTGGGCTGGAGATCGTGCGTGACAGGCTGGCGAGAAAGTTGTGGCTACACTAGAACTCCTACGTCGACAAGTTGCGCAGGCGTTGCATCGACGAGGAGCCAACTGGGCGGACCCCGAAGACGCCAGTCTCCGTCGACGCCTACGCCGAGCTGACGTTCGACGACGAGGAAGCTCAAGCGCATGAAGAGGAGAACCGGCAGAAGGCCGGCTCGCTGCAGTTCACGACAACGACGAGGAGGCCTTAGATCGCTTTCGCGTGTAGCGAGCTGCGAAGCGGCCTCACGGTGAGGAGCGACCAGCATTGGCGCGAGGTCGACCGCTGCCTCGCCTACCTCACCAACACCCGTGACACCGCCCTGGAGTTCGGCGGTGGACTAGAGTCGCTGCAATTGGTCACCTACGTGGACGCCGACGACGTCGGCGACAAGCAGAACCGGACGAGCACGGGCGGCTATGTGTTTGTCTTCGGAGGGGCAGCCAACTCCTGGTCGAGCCAGCGCATCAAGTGCGTGACCCTTTCATCGATCAAATCGGAGTACGTGGTGGTCGCTGAGGCCGGCAAGGAGGAAAGTTGACTTCGCTTCCTTCTTGCAAAGCTCAAGCTGCTCGATGCAAGGACGCCGACGGTCCTTCACGGGGAAAACAAATCGGCCATCACGATCGCTGAGGGCTTGAGGTTGAAGGGCAACCTGAGGCACAAGGAGCGACTATCAAACTATAATTGTTATAGTTTGTTAGTTTTGTCTAGATGTTACACTGAGTTATGCTGTAGAGGGTATAACCCCCTTAGGGTTTGCTATGTACTCCTCTGTACTCCTTGTTTCTACTCATTCATTATTCCATTACCATGTTGACAGCGCCGCTATGCCTGGCTGCAGGAGATGGTGAAGCGCGGGAAGTTCGTACTGCCGTACATCCCGACCATTGAGCAGCCGACCGACTTCCTGACAAAGGCGCCGCACTTTCCGGCCTTCAACCAGTGCTCCGTCGCAATCTGCCAATTGCGCATGGCCAAAGTCGGCGACAGTGACGACTACTTGCAGCAGTAGGTGACATGCCCTTCTGCATGGTTGGTGTGGTGACAACGTGCTGTGTGTTGGGTGCACACCAGCAAAGAGTCTTCTCTGTGGAGTACTGCCATTTGGTTGGGGCCCAAACATGAGCAAGGCAGGGGAGTGTTGATGGGAATGGAGTGTTGGCTCCGCCCTCGCTTG